CCCCCCCATTTCTCTACGGATTTCGCCTTTCTGAGAGAATGGTTTTTGTGGCGATTGGGGGGGGGGGCTCTTAATATAACTTGATATTTTTAAGAAAAGAATTTTGCAATAAAACCTCCCAAAACAAAACACAACGCCTCTGCGGAGGAGAGTGCTAGGAAGTAGTCGCAAGGCTTGGAAAGGCTAGCATTTTATCGGATTGTTTGCATGAAATCTATCGCATGAAATCTATCTATCTATCATGAAATCTATCTATCTATCTAATCTATCTATCTTAGCAAAGTCTTGGAGCGATGCGTTTGCAATCGATTTTACGATCATGTTCGGGAAATGATCAATAAAGCACAGCACGGTTTTCTCCATGGACGATCATGTGTGACACAACTTCTGTCCACTCTACATCATATTGGACAATTACTAGACAGAAATATCCAGACAGACGTTCTTTTTCTAGATTTTGCTAAGGCCTTCGATTCTGTTGATCATGGTATCCTATTGAAGAAACTGAAGGCTTATGGTATATCAGGCAACCTTTACAATTGGTTCACTGACTATTTACGTGGACGTACTCAGCGTGTTGTTGTCGAAGGTGTTGCTTCAGAATGGTCTCCAGTCACCTCAGGTGTCCCACAGGGGAGTATCTTAGGCCCCATGCTTTTCCTTCTATTCATCAATTATCTCCCTGATGTAATACCTCCAACAACTTCAACAGGGCTGTATGCTGACGACACAAAGCTGTATACGGCAATAACATCTCGCCAGGATTGCGATAATCTACAAGAAGCTTTGTCATATGTTGACGATTGGAGTAAGGAATCCAACATTAACTTCAACACGTCTAAGTGCAAAGCCCTGACAATATCCCGACGTAAACAACCGATTGTGATAAATTACCATCTTGGGTCCGCAGAATTGATACGCGTAGATAGCGAAGTTGATCTAGGGATCACTGTTACCAGTAATCTCTCTTGGAATAGGCACATTACAAAACTTGTTACGAAGGCAAATTCAACGTTGGGTTTATTACGGAGAACTTGTCCCATGTTAACGAATTGCGATGTTCGAAGAACTTTGTACCTGTCACTTGTGAAATCAC